CGGCGGTTGCGCCGGTTCAGTTTCCGCGCCCCCCCAACCGCCGCCAATAGCAACGCGGGAAGCGCCGCTTCGCCCCGCCCACCACAATTAAAGGAGACGTGCCTTCGCTGCGTTTTGGGCCTCCGACGGGAAACGGAACACCTAACAGCGGACACTCTGGCTTCTGCACCCGGCTACGCCAAGCCAGGAGATACACAACCTGAGAGGCTAAAGGCCTCTGCTCGCTGCCACTCATTTCTTTCTGAGAACTTAATTTAACAACAACCACAGACCCTGTTGAGGGTTTCACCCAACCGGCGCGTCGCCCTACTTACGTCATGGGGAGCGTAGCCTTCTGGGAAATGTAGTCCCTGTCGTCCGCACGCTGGAGGTCCAGTCTTGTGGAACTACATTTCCCGTGATGCTTCGGGAGGGGGGGTGTGGAGGGCGGGAGTGATGCTTCAGCGTTAAAGGATCCGGAAGATGTGGGGAACACCCAGGCTTACTGGGGAGCGTTCCTTCGAATCCGACTAGAGATCTCTAGGTTCGAATCTCAGTTCCCGCCTGATTTCCTGGCACTTCCGGGATGAAATGCCTCTGCTTCTGTGGACCAGTTTGCTCCTTTGTGATCTGAGGGAATACGATGCAGCCCTGAAAAACTTACAAAAGGTATGTCCAAAAGAAGGACAGCCAAGGGGCATGCCTGAAATCCCAGCAACTCTAGAGGCTGAGGCAGGAGAATCATGATGATGATGATGATGATCATGGTGATCATGATGATGATGATCATGGTGATCATGATGATGATGATCATGATGATGATGAACATGATGATGATGAACATGATGATGAGGATAATAAGGGAGGAGGAGAAGGAGAAGAAGAAACGGTCCTGGTCCTGGGGCGGCTCAGCGGTAGGATGCTTGCCTTGCATGCATGAGGCCCTGGGTTCGATTCCTCAGCACCACATAAGCAGAAAAGGCTGGAAGTGGCGCTATGGTTCAGGTGGTAGAATGCTCGCCTTGAGCTGAAGAGCTGAGGGACAGTGCCCGGGCCCAGAGTTCAGGCCCCACGACCGACCAAAAAAAAAAAAAAAAAGAACCTCCCATCACTTGTCCTGGCCAGGCTGACTTGTCCCATCTCCAACACTGATTAGGATCTAGACAGGCCCTCCCTGAAATTTCGTACCACTCGCATACCTCAAACTATGTTTCTGGGATGGGCGAGCCCCAACCAGGTAGGTATGGTAAACTCAGAAACTGGAACGTGGGAAGAGCTGGTATGGAAGAAGACTCTTTCTCTCGTGTGGAATTAGAATGTGAACAGATCAAAGCAATAGGCATGCCCAGTTTAATCGTGGTTTGGCATACAATTGGTTCCTTTGTGTTACAAGTGTTCTGGCTAATTTACCTTCCACATTAGAGAATCCTTAAAACAGAGTTGTCCGTCACATCTCCCTCGACTGTAGTTGTTCAACTCTATTCAAAGGACAGTGTTCAAGTTTTGCCACCAAAACTTTTTGGTTGGTCGTGGGGCTTGAACTCAGCGCCTGGGCACTGTTTCTGAGCTTTTTGCACTCAAAAGGCGAATGCTCTACCACTTGAGCCACAGCACCACTTCCAGTCTTCTGGTGGTTTATTGGAGATAAGAGTCTCACAGACTTTCTTGCCCAAGCTGGCTTTGAACTGTGATCCTCAGATCTCAGCCTCCTGAGTAGCTAGGATGACAGGCGTGAGCCCCTGGAGCCCAGCTATCCATTTAACTTGAGTTGTTTTATTGTGAGGTGGAGTGTGTGTGTGCCA